CTCAAAGTACTACATATATAATAATATAACATAGTATGTGATTTAGTTAAAACAATATGTAATTTTATGAGAAACACAAAATATGAAAATAGTATGTAATTCCTAAGTTAGAAATTCATACCGTGGATGGAATCTCTAATCGATCCAAAAGAATAGTTTCTTTCGTAAACCTCAACATAAAATAGCCACAATCTATACCGTTACGATGGCGAAGACACTACACATGGAAAGAAAATACGAATATATATCAGGATATACCCCTTAAAATGTTTTATCAAGTATCATCACTAAAGTAAGCAAAATTGAATATCTCTTTGTGAAAATATACCTCCACTCTGATCCATGTAACGTTGTTGGTTCTACTTTTTGGTACTTGAATATCTCGTTGGGAGCGAAAAGCAAGTAGAACGCTATAATAAAATATAAATGACTGTTTAGAACAATCTCACATAGAATCATAAACATAAACACAAATCCAGATATGTTGACCATAAACATAAACATAAACATAAACATAAACATAAACATAAACTTGAATATCTCTTTGGGAGCGAATCACTTACGTGTCAATCATATGTTTCAAATCTGGATATGTTGACCGATCATTGTATAACGAGTCCAGATAATACATAGTTTCTCTCATAGGATTAATTGCAACCAATAACCAGTGTCCACTGCAAGATTAAACAAAGATTAAACAATGGCCAAAAAAGGAAAATTATAATAGATCAAGTTAGGATGAAAATCTAACCCGTTGCCAGTATTATATGGCAAAAAGAACAATTTCTCAGTATCTTTACTGGCCACGAATAAACCTAGTACGTATGACATGACATCATCTGGTCTCGTTACAATCAACCCTGAATTGACAGTGTTGGGAGCTAAGAAGCCAAATCTTGCTTCTAATCCACGCGAGCGCACAATGTTGTCATACATAAACCTTAAATTAAAACATGATTAACATTATACTATATTCATTTAAATGAGGGATTAAATTGTTCATTTAATTAAACAAAGTCGATCGGAGTATACCTGATGTATGTACCGATAACACCGAGGCCTAATTCCAAATGCCTAAAAACTTAGTCCATATCCTCTCTACCAATTTCTTTAAGATATTCAAAACCAAAGATGTATGCACTCATAGGTATAAGGTGGGTACCACCATCCGGAATATCTGTAATTCCTAAATATGTCCGAAGGCACGACCTGAACTGAGCAGTAGTTTTTTTGCTAGCCACAGTCTTCTTAGTAACATTCTTTTTTTGTGTGGAAATGTTGCTAATTTCAGGCGCCTTACCCCTACTGAGTTGTGCAGTCTCTTTAGCATGAATCTAGTTATCGTATAATTAGTTAGGGGAAGTATAAAATCACAAATTAGCATTTCTCATAGCATAAATGTCATATAATTGTGTTACCTCAAATGATGCAATTGACTCAGTATCCCGCCTAATCCCCTTATCTTTTGGAATGGATTTTGTGGGAGTCTAACATTACCATGTAAACAAAATCTAAGTATAATTTCCATAAAAAATTTGAATAGTAAACGATTTTAAGCATACCTCATTATCTACAAAAACGAGGCTTGACGGCCATGCAACAAATGATCCTATTGCATCTGCCACCAATGTTGCATCCGCCACATCGTCAGGTAGTGGTAACAACGCACCCCCCTCTAAAACGACATCGACCGATACTTTCAAAAATCCCTCTAGGAGCGGTCTATGGTGAAGCATTTCTCCCGAAATATTATACACTTTTCCCTTGCCAACCATCCGATAAGTCGGTGTCGACAAATAGAGTTGACACCGGGAAATGCCCTATAATTTAATAAAAATGGTTATATAATTAATAAACATGGTTATATAATTTAAAAACATGGTTTTATAATTTATAAAGATGGTATATAATTACCTCGGGAATATTTTGTCCAAAGTTACCATTGATACTAGCTTTGTCACTAGTATCTTTAAAGCTTGTAGCTTGATCGATTTCCTTTTCCTTTCTCAGCTCATAGACTTCTTGTTGTAACTTTTCCAACTTCTCCTGCAGTTCTTTATTGCTTGGAGATTTTGTCTTTGTTTTTTTTTTCAAGGATGTTGGAGTGATCCCAAATCCCTTACCCCTCACCCGACCAGAATACTCACGAATATCTAATGCTCGTGAGAGTATTCTCCTGCAATCATTATCTTCGTCTGGAGGTATAGACTGGGAAAGACTCTCCTGAAATTCATATAAATATTATAATTAAAGAATGATATGTTAATAAAAGAATGATGTAATTAAATAAATAAAAGTATGATGTAATTAAATAAATAATGTTATACTTACACATCTCTCGAAAATTTGTTGAACTTTTTCTTCAACAGCTCCATCCTTACACACACAGGCTTCCTTCCAAAAAATGTGTTCCGGAAGAGATGTTTCAGAATTATTCTCTTTTGTTAGCTACACATTAAGCCAAAAAACATGATTAAATATAAGCGTCTATATATTATAGATACTTTGCAATTTATAGATACTTACAATAGATTGTTATAAGCGTGCATATCCAATACGGCCTTTTCTGTATGAATATGCTGGACTTGATGCTCGTTGTCAATTTACGACACTTAAGCTCTCAAATTTTTGGGTACTTCTTTTCGATTTAAAAGTTTCCCATTCTTCAGCTGAAATCAAATCATCATATTTCCTTGGAAGCTCTGCATCAACAAAAATTTTATCCGCATCCCTTAGAAACTTGTTTGACAAGAAAGCTCTAAACCCTTTATGTAGTTTCCCGACCAATTTAAGAATATAATCTCTCCTTGTATCCTCAATGATGAACGACCTCTACGAAAATCAAAAACAAAGTGTGTTAGTATAAGTAATTTAGAGACATAATCGTCATTAAAAACAATTAACATCACATATGGTACCTGTATCTCACTCCATATTTTATCTTTAGCATCGTCCAACACTTTTGCTCTCCAATCTTCACATGTGATTGGAATTTCTCTTCTTACCACGGAACCGAGATAACTTGTCAATGTTGAACTGTTAGGCTCAATGAGTTGGCCTTCTTGGCTCCAATGCACATCATACTTTATGCCTTGGTCTCTATCTCGTATTATTCTCCTCATTATTGTTATTCCTCTTCTATATTCCATTTCCGTTTTTCTAACGGCCTTATCTCCATCATGCACAGAATCATCACGTGGGTGATCGTCGTTAGTAGCCATCTAACCTGTAATAAACATAAACCCAATATAAAAGCGAGTTAGAAGCGAGTCAAAAATATATATAAAATGACAATGCTAAAAATTAACATAAACTTAAACTTAAACGTAAACACAAACATAAACATAAACATTTTAATATCCTACCTCTTTCACTAACATCTCTTTCTTTTCTTGGTTGGAACATGAATTACTTGTTTCTTAACAATGCGGACTGATGGATTTATCCAAATTCCCTTGTCGTCTGAAGTATAGGTCGTACTACTTTTCTCCCCCGATTTAACGTTGTCGTTACTTTTTTCACCGTGAAATATCCAACACGTATAACTTCTATCAATTCCATGCATTAGTAAATGCGATTTCAATCCATCTGCGTTAACTCGGCCCACATAACAATAACTCAAGCAAGGACACTTCATTCGACTGGGGTCTTTGGCGTGTTCAACAACAAACTTAACGAATTCTAATACCCCATTCTCGTACTCTTGTGACAATCAATCGGCAAACATCCATTTTTTTCTACTTATTCAAGTAAACAAAAACACTATAAATGGATTATTCTCTTTTTGTTTGAATTAAACGAATTATTTCTAGAAATTTATTTCTAGAGTTAATAACATGGACTAAAAATAAATATATCTATATAAAAATAATTGTGTTTTTTAATTGATCGATAGAGATAGAATTTGAACTTGACTTACCAAAGAAAGAAAAGGGGCTATTGGTGTTGACGGAGGATGATGCGGCTTTGATGTTCTTCGAATCGGTGATGGTCTTCACCTAACTACACCAATAAAAAATGATCATCAAAAACAAGTCGTATATATATTTAGGTTCAAAATACTAGTAACAAAATACTAGTTTATGGAAAATATAAACATGATAAACAATTCAGAAATCAAATAAAATAACAAAAAAACCCATCATATATATCATCTTTTATATTCCAAAATATAGAACCAAAAGAAAATGCAATAATGCTAAATGCTAAAAATGTTGCAGTTATATATCAAGCCCTACCAAGAATCCAAAAATTAAAATGCATACATATAACCCAGTTTAGACATCAATAGGAGATAAACACATTTTGACATCAATGGATATAAACACATTTTCAAGGAGGATAACTCAGTTTGGACATCAATGGAGTTAAACACATTTTCAATAAACAACATACCTTGAGAACCGGCCGGATTGGGTGGAGGAAAATCGAGCAAGACGGTGGAGGACGGTGTACGACGGTGAACGATTTGAGACGGAGAAGTAAATGGGTTTCGCGAGGGAAAGGGTTTCTAACTTTTGTTTTCGTGATACTGTGAATACACAGATTCTATTTTTTTAATTTTCACTTATAAGGGTTTAGACAGCGCTTTCTAAAAGTGCTGACTAATATGGACCTATAGTAGCGCTTTTGAAAAGCGCTGGCTAATAGTGTCCTTTTAGCAGCGCTTTTCTAATTTCTTTTTTTTTTAATTTTTTATGACTTTAGATAGCGCTTTCTTAAAGCGCTGTCTAAAGTGGCCTTTTACCAGCTCTTATGATAAAGCACTTTCTAAAGCAATCCTTTAGCAGCGCTTTTTAAAAGCGTTGTCTAAGGTCATATGTTTAGCAGCGCTTTTACTAATTATTTTATACGATTTCGGTGTTTTTTTTTAATTCACTTATAGCAGCGCTTTTGTACAAAAGCGCTGTCTAATGTGCACTGTTAAAACTCATTTTTGGCATAGTGGGCCCGTAGAGTTCCCTCGTAATAATGGGACCTTAACTCTCGTTGTCGTCGTTATGAAGCGTAACACCTCGTTTAACATTCATGAAACCCTTTCATATTTCCATAACTGTCGAGCCGGTATAGCACCCCAATTATCTGACCTGGCATAACACGAACTTTGCCGATTTGTACGCCGTCGACTTATACGTCCTCGAGTAAAGATGCTTCTAGCAGGATCCGACTGCATGTTATTGCCTCTTAGTACACATCGACCTCTTTACTACAATCTCGATCTTAGACGTTCGAGCTAAGAGTCGACTTAAATATTTTTAGTATGTACGATATTATTAATCCATTATTATCTATACAAAATGAGACTCATGAACATTTTGAAACAAAAAGAAACACGGACGGTATGTGTTTATAAGAAGAAAAAAATGATAATATGTTAGAAGTTGAATGTTGGTGTAATTGAAAATGGAAAGTTGAAAAACCAAAAAAAAAAAAAAAAGGAAAATTGAAAGGTTTAGATTTAAGATATAAATTAGAGCGTAAAACACATGATTCATGAAAGAAGGCGGTAAAGTAAGAAGAAGAGCGTTGGTAGCCTGTGACAAAAATTAATAAAAGTGTGAGGTGGAGATTTATTCAATCATCTTTAGGCACTCTCTCGGTGTCATTTTCTGTGACCACCACAAATCGCAGCTCCCACACACACACACTATATAAAAATCATCACCTTCGATAAAAACACCCATTTCCATTGTCTTCTTCTTACGGTCTACTATTGTAGGGTTTCTCATTCTCTTCTACTTCTACACTTGACTTTCTTTCATCTTTGTCTGCTTCCAAACTCCTTTCTTATTATATCTTTAATTCCTCTTATTGTTTTTATTATATCCTTTGCTCAGGTGGAGGGCCCTCAACTCAGCTTGTTTTAGGGTTTCTTTCGATTAAAGTCAACTTGTTAATAATGGAGAAAGATAGCAACTATTCTGTACAAACATATTCTCTCTCTTACTACCCTGTCTTTTATATATATACATATATGTTATCTCTTTTCATTTCATCGTATACACCATAACTCATATCACCATCTTGTTTTGCTCCAATTTTGAATCGCTACAGGCACCACCGTGTTTCAACACACTTGACTACTCCCTTGATCAACAATACCAGCAGCTCACAAAATATCGTGTCGGCCAAACTTCCGGTGAAAACAATAACGGAATGGTGGATAATTACATGCCTCAAACACAAAACTCAGGTGGCTTTTATGGTGCTACAAACAACTCTTTCGATAAAATGAGTTTTGCAGATGTGATGCAGTTTGCAGATTTTGGACCTAAATTAGCCTTAAACCGCCAAGAGTCCGAGATCGACGACCCCGTTTATTTTCTCAAGTTTCCTGTCTTAAACAACAAGATGGAAGACCAAAACTTGATGTTGAATCAAGATGACGAATTGGTAGATAATTTAAGAGATCGTGAAGAAACTCGGGTTTCTGATGAGAACAACTCGGTGCAGCTTGTGCAAGAGACGAATTGTGCACTCGTGCAAGAGAACAGCAAGAAGAGGAAGAGACCAAGAACGGTTAAGACAAGTGAAGAAGTTGAGAGTCAACGCATGACTCATATCGCTGTTGAAAGGAATCGAAGGAAGCAAATGAATGAGCATCTTCGCGTCCTCAGATCCCTCATGCCTGGTTCATACGTTCAAAGGGTATGTAAGATTCATACAAACAGTTTTCTAAAATTTTAAATTGCACTCATACTTCAAAATTTAAGTTAGTGTAAAGTTTTTTTCTTTGTACTAAAAAGTGCAGCAACAAATAGGATTTAAGATATTATAAATGTGAATATTTGGAATTTAAAGTTTGTTTATGAAACAAGTTACAAAATAGTGTATATAATATTAAGTTAGTTTGTATTTTCTTCTAAGTTGTTGATCGATTTAACAATATAGGGTGATCAAGCATCTATAATTGGTGGAGCTATAGAGTTTGTTAGGGAATTGGAACAACTTCTTCAGTGTCTAGAATCACAAAAAAGAAGAAGACTAGTTGGAGAAGCACAGTCAAAACAAGTTGGGGATTCAACACAACAACAAGCTCCATTTTTTCAGCAAGCTCCTTTACCAAATGAGCAGATGAAGATAGTTGAGATGGAAACTGGACTTGAAGAAGAAACTGCAGAGAGTAAGTCATGTTTGGCTGATGTAGAAGTGAAAGTTTTAGGATTTGATGCAATGATTAAAATCCTATCAAGAAGAAGGCCTGGACAGTTGATCAAGACCATTGCTGCCCTTGAAGATATGCAGCTTATTATCCTTCATACCAACATCACCACTATTGAACAAACCGTTCTTTATTCATTCAATGTCAAGGTATAGTTATATTAATTAGATTAAATTTATTAATTAATTATTATTTATAACTTAACTATATTATTTATATTTTGTAATCTGTGTGCAGGTGGCTACTGATACAAGGTTCACCGCAGAAGATATAGCAAGCTCCGTTCAGCAGATACTAAGTTTTATTCATGCAAACACTAGCATGTGATCATTATTATTATTATTATATTATTATTTATATGTTGTGTGCTACCTACATATACTCCTCTTGTCTTTATATTTGGTAATAATATACATTTATTTTACACCATTTATTTTACACTGCCTCCCTCTTTCAACCAATCATATGGATTTTCATACGAGAAGTCTCTTTTTACATCAAAGTATTTTTTTCATCCCTAATTAAATCACATTCCATTAAACTAATGGATGTGGGAACAACAAAACAATAATAATAACAACAACAATAACATAAAAAATAAACAACAAGAATAACAACAACTAATATAATATTTGGATCACAATTGTAATATTACATGTGTTAGAGTCATTATGTAATTAGTCAAAGATGTGGTTAAAAACATCAATATCGTGAAAGGTAACGTTATTGTGTAGATACTATAAGTCAATATTTAATTTGATGATGGGTCAAATTAGAATATTAAAAACTAAGAAATAATCATAAGGTTATTTATAGGGGGTTATGGTCTCCATTTGTAGACAACGTGAAAACGGCTCATCAGGAAAAAAATCTCTCTTCATCCCTGTCAGAGGAGATTCAAGGAGTCATAAGAAATTCTACAAATCGGAAGATCAAATACCCGTAAACCTTCGGTAATTCTCAATGATAAATTCAGGTACACTTCCGTTTTCATCCTCATAATTGTATTCGGGTATGCGTATAAGGGATATGATTTTGTTGTTGATTTCTATATTAATAGAAATTATAAGGTTTTGAACTGATCTAACATTTCTAACTTGAATTTGTACTTTCTTTGTCTCATTCAAGTTGGAGAAGAAATGATGAAGTTCTGAAATTTATTAATGAAAGATATCATATTTTTGAGTTTTGTTTATGGAAGAAATGATATTTTCAAGTTTAGTTTAGTTGAGAAATAGTGTTTCGTAAATGAAAGATGACATTTGAAGATAGAAGATGAAGTTCGTCTAAGTTAGAAGTTTGTCTACCACAAACATTTGTAGAATGGATAGACCATCACAAAGAAGAAGCATAGGTTGAGAGTTTTATTTTTCTCAATAGGATGAATGAATTTGATACACTGAATGATATTAAAAGGGAATCGAATAGAAAAAGTCTAAAAGTCTAAAGCAAAAAGTTAGACAAATTTAGATCATTTTACAGGTTTTATGTGTTTTAATAGTATGTATTCAATTACATTTCGTAAAATATTATTATTTTTGAATTAGATATAACATTAAATTTGGTATGGTGTTTAAAAACATATATAATTGCTATGTTAAAGTTATAAGGGTGTGTCCCATAAGTAGGATTGTAATTAGGCTTTAGGAACCGAGAATCGTACCAAGAACCGGACTGATAGATCTGGCTCATTTGACCCATCGAAAATAGGCATGGATCGGTCATGAATAAAATTTTAATCTGTTTCTCGAATGAAGATCCGGACCATTTATCCAATGAGTAACCGAAACACATAATATAAATTTTGTTTTAATATCATTTCTTCACTTTTTCCCACTCCTTCAGTTATGCTCCTTATGTTTCTCTTCTTCCTTCCTCTGACGAACTCCACTTTCCCTCTCTCTGTCCGATGCTTTAGTCTAGTGTACGTGTTCTTCTTCTTCTTCTTCTTCTTCTTCTTCTTCGTGAGTGTTGTTGAGTGCTTATTGAGTATATCTGTTTTAGAGGCTTTCATAAACTTGTAATGTATTCAAAAAAAATTAGTTGTTATTTTTCTTATAGTATTCTTTATCTTTACCATGTATGCATGTTTGATTTGAATCATTTGATGAATCGTTTATTACCAATACCATGTTTCAGCCTTGGCCAAAAAATTTTTGACCTAAATTGTTTTGTTACTTTCTGACCTAAATAGTTTAATTATTTGGGAGTTTGTAAATGCATGTTACAATTTTGACCTGAGATTTGTGTTTCACGTTTGATTAATAATAATAAGGGTTATGGTTTTCTGTTGCTGAGTTTTGGTCATAATAAAAGTTCGGCTAGGATTTTGAATAATTGTTTTTCTTCTGTTCTTAATAAATTCCGAGGGCTTGTGTTGCTGAGTTTTGTTCTAATTTCATAATATATTATTTTTTGATTGATTATATTTTGTTCCATGTCTTTTCAAGATTCCCCATTGACTCCTCGAACCATGGATGATCTATTTGATATTAATATGTTGCTTGCTGATATTGGAGAAGAGGAGACAACATATGGAGGTAACTTAGAGATTGGTGAGATCACTACTACGAAAAACCCATTTAACAACAATTGGAAACCCATATAATCACGTGAGTACAGGCATTATTATGTAGAGTATTGTTGTAAATGCATAAATTACAATCACAATTCTGGAATCGTTGTAGTATATTGGAAAGTTTGCATGATATCACAATGGTTAGTTAATTTAACCATTGTCGTATGTCTTTTAATAAAATAAAAAATAGACGTAGAACAACAATAGCAGTAAGAACATTAAGAGCAACAACAAGAACAACATGAACAACAAGAACAACATGAAAAACAACAAGAATAACAAGAATAATAACAAGAACAAGAAGAACAACAACAAGAACAACAAAAACAAGAAGAACAACAACAAGAACAACAAAAACAAGAAGAATAAGAAAAACAACAACAACAATGACAACAACAATGTACAACAACAACAATAACAAGAACAACAACAAGAACAACAATAATAAGAACAAGAACAACAACAACAATAACTAAAAAAAGAAAAATAAGAACAACAATAACTAACGTTGCTAACTTGAATCCATACTTTCCTTGTCTCATTCAAGATGGAGAATAAATGATGGAGTTCTAAAATGTAGAAATTAAAGAAATGTTGCTTTCGAGTTTTGCTTATGAAAGAAATGATATTTTCGAGCTTGGTTAGTAGAAAAATAGAGTGTCGTAAATGAAAGATGATGTTTGAAGATAGAAGATGAAGTTCGTTTAAGTTGGAAGTTTGTCTAAGTTTTAGGTTTCACGCGGATCGCTAACAGTTGTGTCCCAATCATTAATAGCAACAGTAATGGGCGGTTGATATTTATTTATGGATGGTGAAGAAACTCAATAAACGCGCTACATACAACAATGTTTGTATTAAATAATCGTTGTTATATGTATTTTAATAAAATATAAAAAATACAGCACTAGAAAAGCAACAACAACAAGATTCGAACTCATGACCATGTGCGCTACATACAACAATGGTTGTATTAAATAACTATTGTTGTACGTCTTTTAATAAAATATAAAAAATATAGCAGTAGAATAACAGTAACATCAAGATTCGAACTCATGACCATGTGCCACTTTTTACCACGGTTAGAACTTCCAACCGTGGTGAAAATGTGGCTTAAATATGAAAATAAAAAAAATGTGCGCCTAGTTTAATAGATCCTAGCATGGTGTATCCTTTGACGTGGTGACTTGAATGTTGTTGTTTGTGTGTTTTGTAGTAGTGAATGATTGATTTGGAGCTTCCAGTTTTAACTGATACCACTACTAAAAATACCCCCACTGATAATACTACTACTCAAAATACCCCCACTCAAAATACTACCAATACTGATGGGTCAACCCCTCAAGTTGACCAAGATCAGAGTTCTGAGAGTCATAGAAATGCTTTTGGTAAAGCTTCTCGTCCCAAAAAATATGTTGTTCATACTGAAATGGTGCTTGTTGAAGGACCTGATAGCATTAAGAAGTGGAAGTGCAGATGGTGTGGTAAGCTTTACACATATGATACGAGGTGGAAAAGTACATCTAATGGTAAGAAACATTTAGAAGCTTGTATTCAGAGAAAGTTGAGGTTGAAAGGTAATAATGACAAAGAGGTTGCACATTCTAGGTTAAACATACGTGATAGTACTCCAAGTTTGGCAACCTGGACATATAATCATGCTAGTGTTAGAGAAATTGTAGCACATATAATTCTAGATCATGAATTTCCTTTTTCTGTTATGCAAGGTGTTATATTTAATGAGTTTCTTAGGGAGATTTATCCATGGTACAAAAAGATTACTAGGAAACAGGTTAAGTTTTATTGTGAGACATTTTATGAAGCTGAGATAGTTAAGATGAAAAGGTTTATGGCTTTGATTAATAGGGCCAGTCTTACCACTGATTTGTGGTGGTCTGGTGAACAAAGGATATGTTATATGATTGTGACTGGTCATTTCAATGATTCAAAATGACAGATTCATAAAAGAGTTTTATCTTTTAAGAATGTGCCACCATCATATTCTGGGGAGGTTTTGTGTAGGGAGTTGATTAAGGTGATGGATGAGGAATAAGGGATAAGATAGGTTCGATTTTTGTAGATAATGCTAGTGCCAATGATAATTGCATTTCTAGATTGAAAAGGGATTATTCTGGTAGGAGAAATTTACCCTTAGATGGTAAACTGTTTCATGTAAGGTGTTATGCACACATCTTAAATTTGTTGGTGCAAAATGGTCTTGATATGATTAAGGTTACTGTTGATAAGATAAGAAATGGTGTCAAATACTTGCTGAATTGTGAAACTAGATGCAAAGCATTCAAAAAGTTTGTTGGTGAGTTACAACTTGAAGGTAGAATGCAAGTGTTGGATACCAAGATAAGGTGGAACTCAACTTGGTTGATATTGTCCACTGTATACCACTATAGAGAAGTGTGGCCTAGATATGTTGAGGAAAATGATGCATTTCTCAGTTCGTTTCCCGAGGTAAATGATTGGAAAGATGTTCATGATATTTGCAAGTTTTTGGAAGGTTTTGCTGATGTAACATCAATTATAAGTGGCACCGCTTACCCTACTGCTAATCTGTTTTTGGTTAAGCTTTACAGGGTGAAGGTTCTACTTGATAAACCTTTAAGTATCTCAAATAATCCTCAGCTGCAGGCACTTGCTAATGAAGTTGAAATATGATAAGTATTGGTCAGAGTCTAATACATTGATTTTTATTGGTGCAGTCCTTGATCCAAGGTATGAACATTTTAGCCTATGATGA